CTAAAGATTTTTCCACAGTCCACACATGAAAACATCTTTTCACCAGTGTGAATCATCATGTGCTGAGTTAAACTAAGTTTGTGACGAAAACTTTTTCCACAGTCCACACATGAAAATGGCTTTTCACCAGTGTGAATCATCATGTGCCGAGTTAAATGCTTTTTTTGACTAAAACTTTTTCCACAGTTCACACATGAAAATGGCTTTTCACCAGTGTGAATTACCATGTGACGAGTTAAATTCCGTTTTCGACTAAAACTTTTTCCACAAGTTTCACAGGAGAAAAGTTTCCTTCCTTCCTGATTCTGGTTCTCAGCTTCAGCAGCTTCCTGGAAGATGACTTGGTTCCTGTTTGGTTCTGATTCAGTTTGGTATGTTTGTTCATAAACAGGAACCAACATGAAGGTATCAGTCTCCTGTTTTAACTCAATATGTTCTTCACCCTGACTGCAGTAAACTTCTTCCTCTTCCACTTTTATCTGCTGGTGTTTTAGATCCTCCTGCTCTTCTTTTATCTGATGATCTTCTGGTTCTTCCTGTTCTTGTTTCACCTGGAGAGGTTCTAACTCCTCCTGGTCCGGATTGAAGCTCCTTTCCTGGTTACATATCTCCTCCTCATAAATGTTATGTTGCAGGCAATCTAGACAATAAAACAGAGGAAAATGAAGAATTGTTGATTTTATTGAAGTAAATGAGAAAAGAATTTCATTGTTTAGGAGAGAAATCACCAGATAAACTTGGGTTCCCCGATTGCAGTATTCTGATTGCTGATTACAGATTTTTTTAAAAGTCTGACTTCTCGATTCCTGTTTTGACCAATAATCTGGAATTTATAAACTAGTAGAAGTTTTTCTGGATCTCGTTAGTTCTAACAGGCTTGATTCCTGTTCTGGGTTGAGTGAAGTATAAAACTAAATGTTCTTCTAGCGGGTTGGTGGATAGTAAGAATAAGTACTCTAGAATTTATAAACTAAAGAGTTCCTCTGGCTTTGTAATTTGTTCTAATAAGAATAAGAGTAAGTAGTATAAAATGACAACATCGGGAAGGATCTGGCACATATGCAGGATAAGGCACAGACATGGAGCCAATGAAAGGCGGTCACAATTACAAAGTGCATTTATCTGTTGATTTGGAGTGTGGATGCAATTAGTCTGTGAACCCTGTACAGCCAGCTCTCCCAGGAACCAGTCTCTGATATGATGGTCTTATCTAAGAGCAAGTCCTTGGAAGTGGCACAGATGTCGTCAGGAAGGGAGCAAGGACTACAAGAGTACAGATTATTAGGTTTGTATGTTATACTGAATGTTCATAAAGGGCCGGTTGTGCCAGAATGTATTGATAAAACCCATTAGAGTGTTATAATATCAATAAATTTTCCTCTCTTGCTCTCAGTGAAGGCAGATACTTTTTTCCTCTGCTCCCTCCCTGCCCTGCTTGCTCTGTTTTTGTCTCGTCTTTTTCTATATTTTTGGAGCCTTTCTTTGCACATCCTCCAAATGGGCAAAGATCCAAATGGATCTGGTCAACCGGTCTCTCAATGAAATGGATCAAATTTTCTCAACGAGAAGTCTAGGCACAGGAGAGCCCTCTTGTCCTACAGGGACACACCCAGCAGGATTCATTCATGATAACAGGATTTCTGCTGATTGGGGCTTGTGGCTGATCGACAAATTTGTGACGGACTTGGCTGAACTAGCGAACAGTCAGACTGTTGGTGTGGACAGAGACACAAGTTGGATGCGAGTCTTGCTGAGACTCGCAGCCCAGCTGAGGACTGAAAAACTCTAACAGGATGGAATCGATCTTGGAGAAGTTGCTAATTTCAGCTCAGTGGAACGATTAAACTAATCTGGATAAATGGGAACTGAGATGTAGCGGAGAGACTTTAGGGGAGATTGAAATTTATAATCTACCTGACCGAAGACTTTCTGTATCCAAATTGGCTTTTCCCGTGTTGCCTTGTGAATGCTGCATATTTCCAATCTCCTGGAAGATATGTAAACATAACGCTCCTTCCCACCCCACCCCCTCCTGTTTCCATGCATACAGACAGGCGATCTGTCCAGGGTGTACCCCACGTCTTGCCCGGAACCTTAGCTGGAGAGGCACCAACAACTCTCCCGACCCCACTAAGGGACAAGGGTGTAAAGAAAATGGATGGATGGACAGACATATACATATAATATAATGGATATTATATATTAATATATTATTCAATATTAATCATTTATTTGTTTGTATATTTATAAAAGTATATATTGACATTGCTAAATAATTTATTTGTATAATAAATATCAATATCATAATACTCTATTTCTATTGTATTGTTGTCCTCACTAAGCATATTTAAATATGCTGAACTATGTATCAGTGCACTTTAAAAAATACTTAAAAAATACAATTGTTTATAAATTTAGCTGTAATAGCTGTTGGAATAAGGTTTCCAGTAACCAAAAAGTGCGTTATGATCGACTAAATGCGCCGATACTTCATTACGCCTGCCGAACATATAAGGCTGAGTGGAGCGGTGGACTGCTCCAACATGGCTGCTGTTCTGTCAGATAGCCGTACGTATGCTGTCAGTATAGCATACATGCAGTGAGTACGCATGCCCACGCATGCGCATTAAGAAGTCAGACGGTCAGTAGAGTTGTCAGTTCAGCATACATAACAAGTTATGACGAAAATAAGTGATTAAATTGTTTATAATATCATAACTAGATAAATATACATGCGTTGTCGTGGTTTCAAAGGGTCTAGCTGCAGCTGGAGTCAGCTACAACAGCCTGTGTAAAACTCATTAACCTACTTAACCGCTAAGTCAGGATGCCATACAGCT